TCACCAAAAAAAAAAAAAAAAGATACAGCACCTGACTATAATGGACTCAGGGATAAGTGAGAGAGATCATCAATATGGGACCCACTGTTGGAGAAGCTGGAAAATAGTTATCCATGTTAGGAAGTAGGTCAGTGGTGCCTGATGATTCTGTAAGTCCTATTTGAGAAAAAAATGATTCTTGAGTGATCTTAGGCAGAAGCAGGATAGCAGAGCACACCATTTGGCTTCAAATCTCGGATCTACACCTTACTGGATGTGTGACCATAGATAAGTTACTTCATATTAGCACCTACCTCTTACCCTGCATCCCCATCTCAGGAGCAGTGGTACCCATCCATTGCCTACATGCCAGGCACTGTGCCAGGTGCTGAAGACACAGCTTGGGAAGTCCCTATGCTCACTGAGCCACCGCTCCTGAGATGGAGATGCAGGAGGAGAGGCAGGTTTGCGGGAGGATGAGGAGTTCTTTTTGGATCAGTGTGTTTGGCCAGCGAGTAGGAAAGCTCGTGCATATTCTTCAGGCATTTGGGTAGTCACAGGTTCTCATGCAGTGCTACTCAAATTGTGGTCCTTGGACCAGCAGCATCAACGACGGCATCACCTGGGAGCTTGATAAAATTCAGATTCCCAGGCTCTGCCCTGGACTCACAGAATCAACCTCTCTGTGGATGGGGCCCTGGAATCGGTCTTAGCAAGCGCTCCTAGTGATCTTGGTGCCTACTGAAGTTTGAGAAGCTCTGTTCTAGTTTTGTTTTCCAAAGCTGGACGGGCCCATAGAGCAAGAAGCAGATTTTCTTTAGGAGCTCCCTCCGTCCTGCCTTTCAGGGGCCCCTGCCAAGGCTGTTTGTCCAGCTGCCAGCTCTCCATCTCTTCTTTCCTTGTCTCAGCGCTTCACTGTTGCATCCACTTGACACCTGTGAAGTTTTGACAGTTCTTAGCACCTGTAAGCCATGATACATTTTTTTTGATAGATGTTATTTGGACAATAAAGACATAAAAAAAGAAAACTCTTTAGTTTTCGCTTCTGCTGAGCTCTGCTTGTCACACAATTCTGAAACACTCAGGCAGCCGTTGGGAAACCTGTGCTTTGAGGAGTGTGTGTGATCAGTGCACACAAGTGCGTTGTATTCCAAGACCCTAACACAGCTGATCCTCAGAGACAGCACGGGGGATCCGGAGTAGATTCAAGAAGCCTTGGGAGGCAAATGTATTTGAATTGGTGGTTTCCCCTGACAGCCTCCCGTTGGAGCCAAGTGAAAAATCACCTGTGCTTTTTCGTTTTCTTAATGTCCAAACACCTTTGTGAAATGGACTTCCCTGAGACCAGGCCTACTGCCTTGTTCTGTTAGATCCTCTCTTCCCAACTGCAGTTGTTGGGGATGTTGTTGGTGATGTCACTGCTGTATCCAGAGGAGACACAGCTGGGGGCACATGTGCTTCCAGGGTTTATGGTCACGAGGCTGCTGTTGTTGGAAGTACTGACCGATGGTGGTGGTTCAGTCAGCCAGAAATGAGGGGACCCTTCTCTTGGGGGCAGGCGGCACTGTATGAAGAACGTTCCCAAGAGCAGCCACTTCCTCGCATCTCATGAAGCCCTGGCTGCAGGGCATCCCTGCTGGGGCAGAGGAAACCAGGACTGTCGGTGGCTGCCTTTCCAGAAGGGTCCACACACAAGACCAAAGTTGTCAGCATATTCATCTCCCAAAATCCAGTAAGGTTTTTACCTTCAATGGGTTGAACTAGGTTAATGTCAAACATTGCAGCACAGGAGGCACTCTGAAACTGTGACACCCCCTCCCAAGTAATTAGAAGGGAAGAAAATCGAGAATTTTCCAATTCACCTATTTACTCATTCATTCACTGGAACTGGACTGGGTGTGACGATGAGATGCAAAGGTGAATACGGGAAAGTCCTAGCCTTTGAGGAGCTACGAGTCTAAAGGGGGGACAATAGATAGAAAAAGAAATAATTTGAGGACAGTATGAAAGTGCTCTAGAGAATGTTCTCTGCTATAGGAGACAGAGCAGAATGCCACTGAACCTGCCAGCAGAAGTGGAGGAAGGCTTCTCAGGTGGCATTTTACCTGCTCTTGCTCAGGTGAAAGGAGCAGAGGCCAAGGGAACAGGATAAATAACAATAATAAACATTTCTAGAACATTAAGTATGGATCCAGAACTTTTAGTGTATGAACTCATTTAATCCTCATAACAACCCTCTGAGATGGGCACTGTTGTTGTGTCCATTTTACAGATGTGGAAACTGAGGCCCAGTGGGGCTAAGGAGCCTGTCCAAGGTCACATAGCTAGTAAATGGCAGACTGGCTTCAGGCTGTTAACCACTGTTCAACACGGTCTCGCAATATGCGAGCATGATCTCTCTGGGGAATTTTGAGTGGCTTGAGTGGAGAACAGTGGTTCTGAATTTTTTTTTCTTCTATAGCCCACTTAGGAAGAGCAACCAATTTGCCCCACCCATTCCCATTTTCCAATAGAGAAAACATCTTGATGGTAAAGCTTTGGAGAATTTAGTGGTTTGCCAGGACTGCCGTAACAAATATCATAGACTGGGTGGCTTAAACAACAGAAATTTATGTTGTCACAGTTCCAGAGACCAGAAGTCCCAGGTCAAGGTGCCAGCAGGGTTGGTTTCTTCTGAGGCCTCTCTCCTTGGCTTGTAGATGGCTGTCTTCCTCAAGTGTCTTTACATGGTATTCTTTCTGTGTGTGTCTGTGTCCTAATTTCCTCTTCTAATGACACTGATCATATTGGATTAGAGCCCCTCCTACTGACTTCATTTAACCTTAATTACCTCCTTAAAGACCCTGTTTTCAAATACAGTCACATTCTGAGATACTGGGCATTAAGACTTCAACATATGGATTTTGGGGGGAACACAATTCAGCCCATACGAGAGAGCAACCAACATAAACAAGTTTTACTGTGAGCTCTTACACATGATTTTATGTTATTAAACAATGCCCTATACATTTTTAAGTACTTTTTCTTTTTTGGTGAGGAAGATTGGCCCTGAGCTAACATCTGTGCCAATCATCCTCAGTGTTGTATGTGGGAAGCTGCCACAGCGTGGCTTGATGAGTGGTGTGTATGTCCACGCATGGGATCCGAACCTATGAACCCCAGACCACCAAAGCAGAGTGTGCCAACTTAACCACTATGCCACGGGGCTGGCCCCCTTTTTTAGGTATTTTTTTACACTTTCCTGGGTGGTAGTTACAAACTAATTATATGTAACACATTTACAGGCAACGTGTTACCAATGACGTGTAACCATTTAAGCATATTGGCTCGAGGGGGTGGTTCCTGTCTACAATCACTTCAGCAGAACAGTTAGGAATTACTTATGTATGAACAACCTCGTGTCTTTAATTAATGGAAAGCTACAGGTCAAGTGCTATAAATATGCCTTTCTATGCACTGTAAGAGTAACCAAAGAGATCTCCACCAACAATGATTTATAATTGAAAAGCAAGAATAACACCAGTGAACACCATGGCTACCTGGACACCACACTGATGATGCGTCGCTAACAAAAGGTCCATCCAGAAGTGCAGGAATTCCAGCCATCAGAGCTTGCTCATGCGCATCCAGCAGGGGGTCCACAGTCCTGAATGGCCACTGGGCTTCTCAGTAGAATGGCGAATCAGAACCATTAGTGCACTCTAACTTACTGTTACTAAATGTTAGTCATTTTTAGTAATTCAGTTTATAGGTTTATGATAAGTAGCACTAATCCCACATAAAAATGGGTCTATGGAATTGTGTATCTTTTGCTCATAAGAACAATAGAAAGGAAACTGTAGTGAATATGATTTTGTATCTACAATATTAAAGACATATCCCACTCTCTCATTTCTGTAAATCGTATTTAATTGGCTCCAAGCCATGCATGACCTGGCTCTTAGTCATTATGAGAGTTCCCTTTCCTTTCACCCTGCTCACCCCGCTTAACGAGGTCAAACAACATTCTGACAGTGGGGACGCCAGGGAACCCAGCCCTTACTCTACGTTGCCTGGCTTCGTGGCCGTTATTTCTGTCCTTGCTGGGAGGAACTGGTCGTGTGCCCTGCTTCTGGCAGACTGGGGAGTGTGTCCTCTCAGTGGTCCATTCCCATGACCACTGACCTGCCCTAGGGGATGCTCAGCCGTGATGGCCAGGGTCCAGCCTCTGCCGACATCCAGTAGCCGCCGTCTGCCATCTAGTGTCCATGTAATGGAACCCAAATCAAAAATCCTCGCCCTCACCTTCTTTGCCTTGCTCTTCATTTTAGAAAGTTTCAACATGCCTTTCTCTTGAGCTGTTTTCATTTCCCTTCTCAAAGCAGTGATTGCTTCCACCCAACCATTGACCTGAAACACAAAAACTTTTTATTTCACTCCTCAGTGTATTGCGACACTGGCACAGGTGGCGTGCATGCTTTTAATACCATTTAGAGACCACTGCTGAGGATGGTTGGGAGTCTTCCAGAGTTTTTAAGAAGCGGCATGACAGATTAATCTTTTAAAAAGAACACTTTAAGATGGACTGGACATTAGGTGTTCTTAGGAAATTTTATAATGGAACCGTAGTTGCATAGAAAAATGTCCTTAGTTTTTAGAGATTCATGCTGAAATATTTATGGATGAAATGTCATGGCATTTGTTATTTAAATACTTTGGTGAAAGAATATATTGGAAAATATAGCAAAAATGCCTATTTAATTGTTAAATCTAGATGAGGTAACAGAGGCATTTATTATACATTTTCCTCTGTTTTTCTGTGTTTTCAAATTTTTTTAATACTAGAAAATGTAAAAATAAATCCGTCTGGTGGCACTCTGGAGGTTGGGCTGGAGGGACGTAGGGAGCTTAGTGAGGAGGTGGAGGCAGCGATGCAGGTGAACACTGATGAGGGGCGGAGCTAAAACGGCCGCACTGCGATGGAGAGGAGGCTGTGACCTGAAAGGTATCATCTAGTCTGTTTTCTTCGCTCGTTCCCACAGTCCAAAGTGCTTCGGGAAAAATGGCTGCTGCAGGGTATACCCGCTGGAACTGCCGAGGAGGAGGAAGCCAGGAGGCGGCAGTCTGAGGAGGATGAGTTCCGAGTCAAACAACTTGAAGATAACATTCAGAGGTAGGTGGTCTCCAGCCCAGGGCTCCCAGGCTGTGGCTTTACAGTGCAGTAACCACTACTCTCCTCTAGGGGGCCTTTCTCAATGCCATCGCCTTTTTGCAGAGCCTTAGAATTATCTTCCTAAACAGAGTACATTGATTATCATTTAAACTTTTCCAGATACCCAGAGTTATTATTCTGAGTACTAATTATTGTATGGGGCTTTCATACAGTACAGTGATGTCTTCATGGACCAATGAGGTGTTGTAAGCAGCTTATCCCTTCACTAAATGCCCCTTTTTAAATTCTTCTATCAGCTTTTGTCTTTTTCCTCCTTTGGGTCAGGCAACAGCTGTTATTGCTGCTGTAGTAGGTCTGTTTACAAACTTGCTACATTTGATCAATTTGAAATGGGAAAACTGTAGCCAAGCGTCTTGGAATTGAAATGAATTGTATAGAAGTGCTGAATGAGCACACCTGTGGGTTATGAGCCTGTGTGCTAAGAGTTAACTTTGTATTGTCTGCTTTCACTGCTCAGAGGGTGGGTTGCTGCCTTTGTGGTTCTCAACCAGGTTGTGAACATTTCAGTCTGGGAGATAAGTGACCTTCCTGTGACCAGTGGCTGGCCAGGTTCAGACAGGAGCAAAAATGTAGATTTCCCCTTGGGAACTGTAGCCAAGCCAGCTCCCAGGACACCTAGCCAGAGATATGACATGGGGGTGAAAGGTGCCGAGTGTAGGTGCCTTAGAACCATATCTCCCCTCCACCCATCCCACCAAATCCTGCCTGAAATCTCACCCTCGGAGCTTCATCTCTCTCACCTGAGGTTATGAGCTCTTTTAAAACACAAAGAGTAAGCGCTAACTTGCTACCGCCATTTGTACACCAGAGTAAATAGAGACTGTGAGAGTACCCAGGGACTCCAGTGGTGTCATCAAAGGGAATAGCAGACCAACTGTAAGTCCCAAAGGCCAATGTCCCTACTTTGCTTGGAACCTGATGTCCCTTAAAGAGTTCTCAGAGCAGCTTGGCTAAACTTTGCTTGTGGGAGAAACTGGCTAAGAAAAAGTTTGTATGGGATATGCGTGTGTGTGTGTGGATACATATACATACAAACACACATACATGTGTGCAAATATATACACACATCTGTGTACGCAGACACTTTTTCTTAGAATACAAAAGACGAAGGCTGAACTATTACCAACTATCATGGCATCGGAAGAAGAAAATTTTAATCCTGTAAGTACTGGCATCCAGCTTGTAAGGACAGGTTCCTCTGGGAGCCCAGAAAGAAGGAAAGGAAGTCAGGACTTCCTGTTAGAAGCCCAGAAGATAGAAATGAGAGGGGGCAGGAGGAAGTCACTCAGGCCTGAGCCTCAGGGATTCCCTCTGCTTAGCAGTGGCTCAGCTTGCTGCGTCTTAGACAAGATGAGCGAGCTAAGGATTATTGGAAATATTGACGGTAAATTGGAGAGGAAAAGGCAGCTCTGAGAAATGGTTTTATAGGAATTTTGTTTATAAGTCTCAAAGTGGCAAGTCCATGGTGCTTTGAGCTGCAGTCACAGCTGACATGATTCAGCATCTCTTTGTCTTTACTCATGTTCAAAGTTCCGGTCATTTCCCTGCCCCTTTCTTACATAATCACAACAGATGGGTCTGGCACAAAGCAGAGGCTCCCTGGCTATTTGTTGAATGAAAGAATTGGGACTGAGTGCACCGTACGTCGGGACCCCTGCCTGGCACCAAAAGCCTGGGAGATTACTCTCCAGTCCAACTTGGCAAAATCCTAGGAACCAAGTGGCCTGGGCACAGTCTATTCACAGCAAGAACCGCAGGTCAGGTTCAAAGTGGGCCAGTGTTGTGCTACCGAGGAGTTCCAAGAATTCCAGGATGAGAATACCCCTAACGTGAAGGGAGACAGTATACACCGATGGGCAGAAAATTTTATTTAAAATCGTTTCTTTAAAAACAGGATATCTTTTCTCATTGAGCCTGACATGTGCATTCATTTCATCTAATAGGTGTTATTATAGATGGGAGGCAGAAAGGATTTGGAAAATAGGCTAAAATTAGTTATATGACCTTTTCTGTTTTTCTTCAATGGCATTGGGAAATGTGGTCTTCCAATCAGATTGGCAGCTTCACTCTGGCTTGAACACAAATACATTGTTGTTCTGGCCCGTGGGTGGTAACTCTAACCTGTGGGATGAACCATTCCACGTGGAGGGAAAGTCTTATGTCGAGATTCACTTTTGGCTAAAATGACCATCGGAGTGAGGTGTGAGAGTTAGGGGCTGGTTTATTATTCGAGTGGGAGTGATCATACTCAGAAAAATAAAGAAAATCTCTTTTTACCTCTTGAGTCAACAGAATGAAGAGCCTACTCATGTATACAGGCAATCTCTTGGAGCCTGTTTAAGAGATAGATATCCAAGCCAGAAGGAAAGAGATCATAACAGCCTAGGGTTGGGGGTGGGGGTGCCTAGGCCTGGATTCAGGGGACATTTCTTTCTGCCACAGTCATGGCTTTGCTGGGCATTGGCCATTTGCTGGGAGATGAGCTGTGTTCTCTGGATCTGCTTTTCTGTAGGAGCAGGGCTGCCGATGGGCATCGTTTACTCCTCAGGGCCTCCTAGGGAAATGTTTCTTCCTACCCTGCCAGTCAGTGTCCGCTTCCCCTCATCTTACTCGCATCTTCTCTACTACAGCGGCATCTTTAAGCTCCAGTCCCAAGGAAAGAAAAGATCTGTCCTCCCTCCTCCCTTAGAGGATACTCAGTCATCTAAGCCACTTTCCTGGAGTCAAGCATCGTTTAGTTCTCCTTCATAGTCATAGTCGTTGGAACAGCTCTAAAGGCTTATTGTAAACATAAGCGTCCTACAGTGTTACAAGGTCTGTGTGGATTGACTGCCCTGGCTCTGCTAATTTCAGTTAAGTGACTCAAAGCTGTAGGTTAGATAAGTTGCTCTTATTTTCCCTGCACTAATGAGCTAACCATGATGATTTCTTTTTATGGCAAAGGCAGAGGGGCAAGGGGGCTGAGCAGAAACAAGACATAGGCTCAGAACTGCCCCTGAGCCACCAGCCAAAGCAAGTCAGTGGCCACGCCCAAAGCCAAAGGGAGGAAACAGACAGTCAACCTTTAGTGGAAGAAACTTGAGAGTTATGTGGCAAAGGACACAGATTCAGGAAAGGGTGAACACGGGGGCTAATACTTCAGTTTTCCAGAAGCATGATTGTGCAATTGAAAACTGCAAGCATTAGGGGAAACTGACCAGCATTAGGGAAAGTACAGAAAGGCAAATGAATGAGAAAGAAGACAAACCAAAACAACTCAAGGATTCAGAGGGAAAGGAAGAAGAGAATACGAGAAAATAGGGGTGGCTTCGAGATCAAATTCAGAATCTGATCTTTGTATAATAGGAATCCCAGAAACTGTCTACAGATCAGATGCAGCAGAACCACTAAAGACAGGAATTCTAAAGGTAACTTTCTTTGTTTGAAACAAAGCATTAGTCTGCAGATCTTTAGATTTGGGTCCACTAGTCTAAGTCACTCCCCAGCAATAAATTAGATTCTTTTAAAGAGATATATGAGCTGTTTTCAAACTATAAAGTGTGTTACTACAGTTGTGCCCTGAAGGTATTTTAGTCCTTGTTGACAAACCAAGAGCAGCTTGAAGAATCTGAAGGAGCAATAGACAATAGTAATCAAAGAACAGGGAGAATGCCTACAAGGAAAGAGTAAGGGAAATTTGGGGCATTTAGTTTAGGAAAAGAAAAGATACTAGCAACCTAACTCAGAACTTCAAGTGTGTATAGGATTTAGGCCACATCTTAATTCTTTATGTCTGGGCCATTCCGAATATGATAAAGACTTCAAATAAAGCATGAGAATTTGCATTTAGACGCATGTCTCTTTCCCTAGATATCTTCAAGAAAAAAGAACGCAGCCATCTTTCTAATGCTGATTCTAAAATTCTTTAAGTGCCAGTAGCCATACAGGAATTTCCAGGTTTACGGGCGTGTTTTCTACCAAAATGTTATTTGTCAGTTGGTGGTGGTTTGGAACTGAGAATGTTGTCTCTCTTCCAAAACTGTTATATGTGGTGCTTAGATTTTGAGGGCAGCCCACAAGAAGGAAAGGAAGGAAGGGAGGGAGGGAGAGAGGGAGGGAGGAAGAAAAAATGTAACTAGATTATTAAAATCCTGGGCATTAGAATCACCTGGGAAACTTTTTAAAAATACAGATTCCTGGGCCTCTTTCCAGGAAATTTGGATTCAGTGACCCAGGTAAGGAACCCTGGAATTTAAATTTATGTGGGTATTTATTTATTTATTTTTGTGAGGAAGATTAGCCCTGAGCTAACATCTATTGCAAATCCTCATTTTGCTGAGGAAAATTGGCCCTTGGCTAACATCTGTGCCCATCTTCCTCTGCTTTATATGGGACGCCGCCACAGTATGGCAGTGCGTAGGTGTGTGCCTGGGATCCGAGCCTGCAAACCCCGGGCCGCCAAAGCAGAGCGCGCAAACTTAACCACTACACCACCAGGTGGCCCCTGGAATTCCTATTTTTTGAAGAATGCTCTAGATAATTCTTTTGCATGGTCAGGTTCAAGAATGATTGCTGTAAATGGTAAAAACAATAAACCATAAAATGAAATCTCGTTTTGATACCTAGAAACCCCAAGGGAAGTGAGGAAATAAATAGTGTTTATAAGAAAATCGATTTCACACAAATGGATAAAGGAGGACAACCCTGACCGTTGATTTCAGACTGATTCTAAGTCTGAGAGCTTTGACTTAAGGAAATTTGAAACCTGCTTTGGGGACTCCTGTAAGTGGGGATAGAGCTGTGTATCTGGCATAGAGCTAAGGTTTTGCCACCACAGGCCTCAGAGTGGAGCCAAGCTTTCACTTGACCTTGATTAGAAGCAGCCTTGGTTTACCAGACTGAAAACGATACAGGTCAGGAAAGCTGGCTACTTTTCCAAAGGCCAGAAAATTCTACTATTT